CTCATGAGAAGTCCCAGCGAATGACATCACGCGAGATGCATCCAACTCTGCAGGTGCTCACATACAACGGATCTTTGGCCTGCTTAAATGCCCCTTTAGGCAACTAGAAACCGCATTAACCGGTATAGCGCATTAAGCCGTAAAATCTGATCTTGGAAGAAATGTGCGTTATGCATCGACAGCACTGTACAACTGTCAACAGGTTGCATAATGCATAAAATTATTGGATCGAACTAACACAGAGCATTTCAAAAGTCTGACAGCTGAAACGGTAAAGTCACCAACATTACGTTGGTGATTTTGATGAAATAACGGAGGGTGCAGGACATACAGTGCAAGTACCTGATGAAATACCTACTAAAGCATTTGACATTTAAGTTTTTTTGTGGTTCGTCTATCTTCTCCATGTGTCTTTTCTCATAGATGGTTCCTTTTCTTTCCATTTCCAAGCCTTAGCTTGGCAATTTTTCTGGTTTAATATCCTTCGACGATTTTTCATCCACTGGTTTCGCTTCTTTGTCTTCAGTTTCCGGTGTTCCAGCTTCAACGGGTTTGGTTTCAGACTTGGAACTTGCCGCTGCCTTCAAACCATTGCCTTCTTTAGCCGGTTGAGAAGACGCTCTCTCCTCTACCGCTGCAGCTTCCACGCTTCCAATAATTTTTAGTGTGATTGAACGAGTGGTTTTAGGAGGCCCGTCTTTCCCTTTCCACAGCTCTGAAGGTTTTTTAAGCTTTGTACCTTCCGGAACAACTGCAAAAACAAACGTAAGGCGATCCTTCTTCAGAGGCTTCTGTCCTTCTGGTAATTTGCAGTACTTGATTTTTACGTAGGAACCACTGGACTTAGTCAAGACAACAAAAGGTGGTCGAGCAAGGAGTTCTTTTGGGCGTGTGCTCTTGACCTTGAAACCGATAGTTTTTTCCGTCGGATTGACCACCTGGATGGTCTCGGTTTTGTCTTCAGTAAATGGCTCTCTGAACGTAAGCGACTGGGTCGAAAGGTAAACCTGCTCCAACGCTTTCGTTTCCTCATTGTCATCTTTTGGCGACTCTTCCGGTTCTGCCTTCGCCATCGTTCAAGGCTGATAGGCCGAATCACGTAGCATAGCACACCGTTGACCGCATATTAAACTCATGATTATCACAAGCCATTCATATGTATTAAATTTTATTTAAAACGCACATTACATGTTACACGTCCATTAAACTGTTTCTTTCGTAAATGCCATATTCGATGCTGATGAATGACCACTTCAGTCATACGAAACATTATTTTTTGAAAAAGGTTCTGTTCGCAAAAAAAGAATTGACAGAATGCAACTCGCCTCCATCCCTCACAGTGCTCTAGGGGAGAAGACAAATTAGTACCATCCAGTTTCCCGCAACACGACGGATCATTCATAATTTCGTGATAGTTGCATTAATGCCGTTGATGGGTTGACAATCAAATAAAGAAAAAAAGCGTTATGTCCTGCAGGGAAGTCCGTACCAGGTACCATTGGGGTATTACTTGAACCACGTTTATTTATGAGTTTAATGGCATAGGATCATTCACTAATGTTTCCATGTTTGTTTTGAACGACAGTGTCTATAACAATAGTGTGTTCTACCATGTTTCCTCCTCAGAGTTTATTCTCATTTATGTACCACGAAAATACGCAAGGCACAGGAATGGGCGAAAATTTTAGCTAATAATCTTTGGTTTGTTAATACGAAAAAACTTTGCCATCAAAGCTATGATATCCAAGAAAATCTTTCAGAAGAATCTTCCTGAATATATTAGGATTTGCCAGCGCAGAACAAACCCGCAACATTCAAAGAATAGGATGATACGCATAATCACTAATAATCAGAGTTTCATTACTATACTATTTCTCGGTTCATGCTTTGCGGTTGCTGTAGCCGGTCAAATCAATAACGTTTAATATTTTATTGTATTCGTTAGACAAACAATTCCCAATGGAAGAATTGCGCGTGTATTCGTCTTTGGACCTTTTGCGACATTATCAGACAGCATATGTTCTAAATTGTAGTTCTCCATGGTAGATCTGAATGACTGATTATTAGTCTTTTATGGGTTAGATACTTAAAACAAATGCGTACGGACATAGAAAATGACGGATCAACGGGTATATTTTAAATACTTGTTTACCTCCTGTAACGTGCCCAATAGATTTGTAATAGCCGGTAGCAAACTGTTGAGGAGACTCTCATAAGTTCCCTGTTATGGAATGAAAGAATAGGATATTTACAACGGGCAGTACTTATATCAACCCCGGATGACGTTTCGTTGAAGTACATTCCATTTCCTAAAGTAACACGCCGAATCCTGGTGGACCT